CTTTTTGTTTCTGCATTTAAAAATCTGTTTGTTTTGTTTCTTCATTAATTTTGTTCTTTGGATTCCACATGTAAGTGAAATCAGAGGGTATTTGTCTTTTATTTCACTTAGCATAATGCCCTCTAGGTCCATCCATGATGCTGCAACTGATAAGATTTCATTCTTTTTTTATGGCTTAGTAATATTCCATTGTAAATATGTACCACCACTTTTTTACCCACTTGGCTATTGATGGATAACTGGGATTGCTTCCATATTTTGGCTATTATTAATAATGCTGCAATGAACATAGGGGTACGGTACTTTTTTCAAGTTAGTGTTGTGGGTTTCTTCAGATAAATTTCTAGAAGTGTAATCATTTATTTTTTTAAAAGCAAAGTCAATTTTTTGTACAGGTTTTGGATTTAAATGAAATAAGCTCTTTTCTGATATATGAATACAAAGTTTAAATAACCCCAAATTAAAATTATGAGTTCTTTTATTTGACATGACTAAAATCTACTAGAGTACTTTTCAACCTTTAGAACCTTTTGACATATATGAGTAGAAGTCATACCATTTTTTGGAAGTTGATAATGACATAAACATCTTAATTATAAAAGTTGCATATATCTATATATGGGAAGGTTTGGTAAAATTATTAATTGTGAAAATTCACATTTGCTATTTAATTTTGATAGGTACGAACTATGGCTCGAGATTTATATGATGACCACTTTAAAGCTGTTGAAAGCATGCCTCGTGGAGTAGTGGTAACACTCAGAAACATAGCAACTCAATTAGAGTCATCTTGGGAACTTCATACAAATAGACAAGTATGTTAGCCTCAAGATTTTATGACATATAGTTATCTTGGTTTAGCTTTTCCCCTTTGCCCTTTATGTTATAGGTATTGATTAGGGATCAGCAAATTATCACCCATGAGATAAATTTGTTCTACCACCTATTTTTGTTTGGCTTTGTGAGGTACGATTGGTTTTTACATTTTTAGTTGAAAACAAAAGTAAGAATAACATTTCATGATACATAAAAATTATATGAGAATATAATGTCAGTGTCCATAAGTAATTTATTACTCACACCGTCCTTATTGACATACAGGATGGGCAAAAAAAGGTTTACTGGTATAGTTTTAATACACAGAAGTAATACAATAATGAATAAATAATCAAGAATAAATTATGTTTTGCATACTCACAACTGTAAATCTACTTTTTTCTACCCCTGTATTGTCTGTGACTGCTTTGGTGGCTAGAACAGTAGAGTTGAATAGGTGTGATAGAAACCACATAGCTTGTAAAGGCTAAAGTATTTGCTATCAGCCCTTTATAGAAAAGTTTGCTGACTCTGGAAGAGAGAATTTGCATTAATAATATGAACTTCTTAATCTTATTTACATCTAATTTATTTTCATGGTAATTAACATTCTGATAAATTTAAGACATTTACTTTTTGATTGTCTTTATTAAAATTTTTTTTTCTTTTAGTGTATTGAGAGTGAGAACACATGGAGAGATTTAATGAAGACAGCTTTAGAAAATCTAATAGTACTTTTGAAGGATGAAAACACCATTTCACCATATGAAATGTGCAGTAGTGGCTTGGTGCAAGCACTTCTTACTGTTTTAAACAACGTAAGTTGTTACGTACAGAACAAAGTATATAGCTTTAAAAATCACTTGTAACTACCCTTTTGGCAGAGTGATATTTATTTTGCTTTGCCAACAAATAATAAAAGCTGAGTAATAAGTGTTAAAATGTATAATTTCTCCAGTCTTTCCCTTAATTTGTATTCTTAATTTGGGCCAATTGAATTAAATATTAAGTAATTATTTATTTTGGTTTTTGTGTTACCTGATTATAATTTGTTCAAGATTTTATTGAATAAAATACTTACTTTAGCCTGAAATTTAACACCATGCTCTGATTTTCTTATAAAAAATAGTCTGTAGCCGAAACCGGTTTGGCTCAGTGGATAGAGCGTCGGCCTGCGGACTGAAGGGTCCCAGGTTCGATTCCGGTCGGGGGCATGTGCCTGGGTTGCGGGCACATCCCCAGCAGGAGATTTGCAGGGAGGCAGCTGGTCGATGTTTCTCTCTCATCGATGTTTCTAACTCTCTATCTCTCTCCCTTCCTCTCTGTGAAAAATCAATAAAATATATTAAAAAAAAAATAGTCTGTAGACCTCATTAAATACCTAAATTATTTGCACAAAATTAATTTTGTGAGAAATAATAGTTTAGGATGTTTATGTGAATATTCGACAAGTATTTGCTTAATAATCTTATATTTCTCTTCAGTTTTTTTCTACCTTTAATTTGATTGTGATAAATTTTCCTTTATTTTGATGAAACATCATATATACTTATTGTAACAAATTCTAACAGAACTATGAAAAGTGAAAATTTCTATTTTAGTTCTGTTGGCCACTTAAATTACTTGATCTTTTTTTTTTAACATATTTTTATTGTTTTCAGAAAGTAAGGGAGAGAAAGAGAGATACAAACATCAATGATGAGAGAGAATCATTGATTGTTTTTTGCACGTCTCCTGCTGGGGATTGAGCCCACAACCTGGACATGTGCCCTTGACCAAAATCGAACTTGGGACCCTTCAGTCTGCAGGCCAAGGTTCTATCCACTGAGCCAAACCAGCTTGGGCAAATTACTTGATCTTAATTATTGTAGTGGTGATACACTCTAAAGATTCACTTTAACTTCAGTCTCATATTTTCTCTATTAATTTTATCATTTGCATTAATTTCCATTTATTAAAATTATATTGATATATCACATTATGTCTCTTAGTAATGTCTGTTAAGTTATTGTTTTATTAAAGCAGTTATTTTTTCTAATAATTAAAATAGTACTGTTAAAATACAAAATCTCATAATCTGAAATCATCTTGTATACTACACTTTGAGACAGATTGATTTCACAATATAATTGCTATTCCATTATAACATTGATAAAGGAGGAAAAATAATCTATGTATTTGTTAGCTATGGTCTATTAGTCATATAATAAAATGAGTTTTGATGGAAAGAAAATGATTTTCATTAGATTATATTGCTTTTTTTGTAAATGTTAATATTCATCTTTGTAGCATGTGTTTTTGATAATTTTAGTAACACCCTTAAAAGTTTTTTTTTCACTTTCTCATTTTTGTTTTCTGTAGAGCATGGATTTAGATGTGAAACAAGATTGTAGTCAACTGGTAGAAAGAATAAATGTTTTCAAAACAGCCTTTAGTGAAAATGAAGATGATGAAAGGTAAATGTCCACATTTTAAAGATGTTGGTATTCGCTGTGTTTACAATATGAAGTAGCTTATATTGTAAATGCATAATAAGATGCAAGATTTTTAAACATGTTTTAATTTAATAGAATAAAAGGAAAATTACATATGTGCTTTGAATGTAGATGATCACTTAGTTTAGATTCTCTTTTAAGTTACAACTCGAAATTTGAACACTGATTAAATATTTGATGGGAATATGTATTGTTCATATTTTTTTAGGTGTGATGATGATTTTTGTTTTTTCAGAGTTCTTCCTTGGTAGAATACATACTCAGAATGTTTATAGACAAAATTATATGTTCTCTGGCACTTTTCTTCAAAACATATGGGGAGGGGAGAAATGGATGGGGATGTAGATGGAAATCAATTGGTTATTAGTAGTTAATAGTTGAAGCTGGGTCAAGGGTTGGTGAAGGTTCCTTTTACTATCTTATTTACTTCTGAATGTGAGTGACTTTTAAAAACAATTTAAATTTAATTTTAATTATTTGAAATATCACTTTGAATGAGTGCATATTACATTTTATGGATGTGTAATAATTTAACATTACTATATTAAAAATTTTAGCTCTTTGCAAATTATTTTAATATTAGTAAATACTTATCTCAATGGAAATATCTTATTATATAAAAATTTTAAAATATTACTGAGTTAATGGTTATAGGTGATTTTCTTCATACCATTTTAAAATGGTCTTTGTTTTCGATGATTTTTTAAGTTTCTTGATATTGTCGAATTATTTTCCAGAAATATTGTAACAGTGTTGCCTTGCCAACAAATATCACTTCTAAAAAATATTTGTTTCATATATTCTTTTATGTGTCAAATATAATACAAGGGGTAAATTTAAAGATAATAATTACACATCTACTTTGAATGCAATAAATTAAACTTTTATAAGTAAAATGCAATATTTTATTAAGGGAAGGAAATTGAGTTATGAGAGTATTTTTGTTTACTCAGATGTAGTGTAGTACATAATTAAACTTTGCACTCATTAGGAAGTGGGATCTATATGGGGTTGGTTATTGCAGTTTCTGTATGAACTTTTGTATGAAATTTTATAAAAACTCGTAACAATTATTTTTGCTTCACAGTCGACCAGCAGTTGCATTAATTCGAAAATTAATAGCTGTACTAGAATCTATTGAACGTCTACCTCTCCATTTGTATGATACTCCAGGATCTACATACAACCTCCAGGTAATCATGCAAAATGCATTTGCTATTATAGTTGGATGCATTTAGGAGCGGTCTTTAAAAAAAACACACAGACCAAAAAATTTCCCTTCATGTTGTATTAAATAATGATACTGCTTAATTATTAAAGATTTTATCCTTAATGCCATTTGATTGTTATTTTTCATGACTCTTGAATGCATTGAAATTTCAGTTTTATTTTGTTTAATGAAATTACTGTGGATTTTTAATAAAATATTGTAAGTACTAAATCATATTTGGTAGGTCATAAGTGGAAAAAGACAATTCACCTGTGGAAAAACAGGAAAAAGGGTCCTTTTGTTCTAGAATCATGAGTCAAGTTCCTTCGTCTCTGTGTCAACATATAAGAAAATGTGAAAAGATTTTTTTTTTTTTTTTTTTTTTTTGCTTTATGGATGTTATTGGTTAGAGCCAGAAGGCCTTCTTTAGCTATTCCTATTGATCCTTTCAGAAATCTGTCATTATCTATGTGTTTGTAAGAAGCCTGTTCCTAAATGTTATTTGGTTGACATTCTCATTTATTATATTAATTATTATTTTGTTAGCACCTGTGATATAGGTATGAACAGACAAATATTTTTAACTGTTAATACCTTCATTGTATCTTCTATGGGTTACTTTATTTTTTTTCAGGGTGCTTTTTTCTTTTATTAAAAAATTTATGAACCTAAAACTAATCATTCCAAACCAAAATGAGCTCTTCTTAAAATCTCATCAAAACTTCTATAAAACCTAGAATTTTCCAGGTTTCTATGGGTTACTTTAATATTTTCTAATAGGTCCTTTGGCCTTGAATCTTGCTTTGTCCAACCTATCCTGTATTCCATTGCATGGAAAGTTTCTTTTAAATATTGCCCTTAATAAGTAACCAAGAATCTTTATTTGCCAAAACAGTGCCTACTCAAGGTAAAACTTGCCATATCCCCAGGAACCCAATAATGTTACCGAAGCCACTAGACTCCCAAACTAGAGAGTTTTTGCCTGGAGCCGGTCCATCCTTGCTGTTTCAAGGGACCTGGCATATATGGCATACTGTTCTTAATATATTTGCTCACCTTCTTGGCACTATGTGTTTTAACCAAGGTCACCTCTCTGAGAAAGGTTGTTTCCCCAGGTAGGGATTTTCCCCTGAAGTTAGGGAGGGAATAAAACCTCTTAACTAAGTGGACCGAACCTGGCTGGAGAACCTAAACCGAACCTGGCTGGAGAACCTAGTGAGAGAACATGGCTACAAAACCTGGCTGGAGAACCTGGAGAACGTGGCTGGAGATCCTAACCAGAACTTCGCTGCAGATCCAGACCAGAACTTGGCTGGAGATCCTGGCTAGGCTGCTGATCAACTGAACGCTGTCTCCATGTCATTCCTTCTTCGCCGACTCCATCTACACCTTTGGGAATCCCTGGACCCGCTGGGGTCGGAACCCGGCAAGTTTTTCCAGGAAGTTACAGTGCAGTTAGTGCATGCACATTGATGTATATTAAACAAGATATTGAGGTCTACTTTGTTTCATTTCAGACATAGAGAGGAGCCGAGGGAATTTTGTGGTCTATTAATATATATATATATAAATATGTATGTATGTATGTATATTTATGTATATGTATATGTATGTGTATATTAATTACTGATTTCAGAGAGGAAAGGAGAGAGAGAGAAACATCAATGATGAGAGAGAATCACTGACTGGCTGCCTCCTGCACGCCCCACACTGGGGATTGAACCCGCAACCTGGGCATGTGCCCCCAACCAGAATTGAACCTGGGACCCTCCCAGTCCGCAGGTAGATGCTCTATCCACCTAGCCAAACCGGCTAGGGCAGTCCATTTTTTTTTTTGGCTTTATTTTGATAAGAGTGAAGTAGAGACTAGTTAGTCTTAAAGACTGGAACAGTCCTAGGAGCACAAATATCTTTTATTATGTATTTCTCATTTCAGGAGAGTGCAAGATACAAAGACAGGAAGGTTAGAAATATGCCCTCTAGTAATTTTGTAGTCTAAAATGCTATCCAAATGCACATACAAATATTTAATTGTGTCTATAGATTTATACAGAAATGAAGCTACCTCAAATTGCTAGTCTCCTGCTTGTTGCTTACTAAAATAAATGGATTGGAAGCTATCTTGTATTTTTAAAAGTTTATTAGCTATAAATTATTTAATATATTTCTAGTTTTAAAGGAATATGCTAATTAGTACTTTTCATAACTGGAAAAATATAAGTAATAAATTAGAGATGTAATACTTCTGTTAAAGTGTTTTATAATAATTTTATTTATACCATATATAGTTGAAGCTTTAAGTAGTTAACTTTGTTTTTTTCTTGAAAGCTTATATCTCTTACTTGGTGGACCTTTTTTTAAAAATATATATTTAATAGAAACAGACATTGATCCTTCCTTTATCAACGGACATTGATCCTTTATAAACTTGAATCACTGTGTTCATGTAACAGTTTCATTTTTACAATTTCAAGAAAAATGCAAGGTAGTTCATGAAGTATTTTGATCCTTTCTCTGTAGATACTTACAAGAAGATTAAGGTTTCGGTTGGAACGTGCACCTGGTGAAACTGCATTGATAGATAGGACTGGCAGGATGTTGAAGATGGAACCCTTAGCTACAGTTGAATCTTTGGAACAGTACCTCTTAAAAATGGTGAGTTCTAAAAGAAAAGAAAAAAAAAATGTTGGGTTCTTGTAAAGGCATAGTGAAGTAACCATTCTCTGCTGTGGTCTAGCCCTTTAGAAAAGTAATTTGGGAAGTATGCATCCAGAGTTATGATAATACAGTGTGATCTAGCAATTCCATTTTTAGGACTTTATTTAAGAAAATAATCTTTATACATTATAAATTGCTTTTTCATAAAGATGCTTATTATACTTACTTGTAATACTAAAATAGTGAACAAAACCTTAATGCCAATCAATAAAGGTATATCAAATTGACAGTTATTTCCATTAATTTGAGTCTTTTATGGAGCTATTAAAATGTATAAAACCAGGTAAGAGAAAAGTGTTTTTGTATCATATAAACAAGACTTTGTTTTACTGTAGCTATTGAAATAATAGACTAAAGAAATACTGTATGATATTAATAGTGGGCTACTTTGGTTTTGCACATTTCTGTTCTGTGTTTTTCAAATATTTAGTATTTGTTATAGTAAAATAGCTCACATTAATGGGATAGGATAAGAGTGAGCAATGTGTCTTACAATATTATTAAAATGTCTTTTGTATTTTCTTTGGTTTAGGTAGCAAAACAGTGGTATGATTTTGACCGATCTTCATTTATTTTTGTTCGAAAATTAAGAGAAGGGCAAAATTTTGTATTTCGGCATCAGCATGATTTTGATGAAAATGGAATTATTTACTGGATTGGGACAAATGCCAAGTAAGTCATTCTGTTTAATTCACCTGGAAAAAACATTCTAGGTAGCAGAATAAAATTTGAGTATCCTGTAGTTAATGAAATTTTGCCTTACAGGTTAAATTTAAAACTATCTAATTTAACTTTGTTTTTGTTAATCCTCACCTTTGGATATATTTTCCATTGATTTTTAGAGAGAGTGGAAGGGAGAGAGTGAGGGAGAGAGGGACAGACAGACAGAGAGAGAGACAGAGAGACATCGATGTAAGAGACACATCAATTGATTGCCTCCCACACACGCCCTGACTGGGTCTTGGGACTGAGCCTACAACTGAGGTACATGCCCTTGATCAGAATCGAACCTGAGACCCTTTAGTCTGAGGGCCAATGCCCTGACCCCTTAGCAAAACTGGCTAGAGCTGCCCTAGCCGGTTTGGCTCTGTGGATAGAGCACCAGCCTGTGGACCGAAGGGTTCCTAGTTCCATCCTTGTCAAGGGCACAATGCCCCAGTTGTGGGCTTGATCCCCAGTAGGGGACGTGCAGGAAGCAGCCCATCAATGCTTCTCTCTCATCATTGATGTTTCTATCTTTTTCTCCCTTTCCCTTCCTCTCTGAAATCAATAAAAATATATTTAAACAAAAAACAAACAAGTAACTGGCTAGGGATACATTAATTTTCATGAAGAAAAACAAATTGTTAATAGTAGAATTTTAAAAGTTGATACAATTTTATGTATGTTAAAAGCTATGAATAAATATTTTAATAGTGTTAACTGCTAATATTTTCTTACTTTTGTGTAGAACTGCATATGAATGGGTAAATCCAGCTGCTTATGGACTTGTAGTAGTAACCTCATCAGAAGGAAGAAATCTACCTTATGGCCGCTTAGAAGACATACTAAGTCGTGATAATTCAGCTTTAAATTGTCATAGCAATGATGATAAGAATGCATGGTTTGCCATAGATCTGGGTCTCTGGGTGATACCATCAGCATATACACTTCGTCATGCTCGTGGATATGGAAGGTCTGCACTGAGAAATTGGGTTTTCCAGGTATCCAAAGATGGACAGAACTGGACCTCTTTGTATACCCATGTTGATGACTGCAGTCTCAATGAACCAGGGTTAGTGGAGGAGTCTTTGTGCATTAGAAAACTCAGTAAAGAGCTATGTTTATTTTTATGATTGTATATCCTTAGAGCTCTCTTCTTTGTGAGATAATAGAAGCAAGATTTCCTTTCTGAAAACAGTATATTATTAATAATAAATTTTAGGTATTAAAACTTGAAATGCTGACTTTACCAAAACTTTGTGAAAAGCTTTAAGTTAAACATTAGTAGGAGACTGAACATATATATTTAAAAAGAAATTGATACATTACGATGTGTGTGTCTGTATAGCACACTAACAAAAAACAAAAAATGGAATTAGTTTTTTACTAAATTCTCCATATATTCACATGATACTTGTGAATGTTCAACAAATTATTGCTGGTTATTGAATAACTAGAGGCCCAGTGCACGAAAATTCATGCAAGAGTAGACCTTCCTTTCCCTGGCTGCCAGCATCGGCTTCCTTCCAGCACCCGGGACCCAGGCTTCGCTCGGGCTCCCAGCAGGCATCCGGACCGGGCCGCTTTTCTCCGGCCCCGGCTTCGTCCAGAAGGATGTCTGGTCTAATTAGCATATTATGCTTTTATTATTATAGATCCGAAGATCAGGTCTCAGCCTGGATCGCTTAATTGATTAGAGATCATCCTGATATGCTAAGGTTTTGGGTTTGATCCCCAGTCAGGACACATAAAAGAATCAACCAATGAATGCATAAATAAGTGGAACAATAAGTCAGTGTTTCTCTCCCCCCTCCCTCCTTCCCTCTACCGCTTCCCCCTTCCCCCCCTCCTTTCCTCCTTCTGTCCTTCTCCCTTCCTCTCCCTCCCTCTCTCAAATTAATAAATTTTTTAAAAGAATTGGTATTATATTTCTAAAATTTAGTCCTAATAACTTTTAATTGTACATTGTGGCACATTTTGAATGCTAGATAGAGTATGGCATTAAATTAATTTCTGCATTTGATGTAATATGGAAGGAGCTTCTTAACGAGATTACTAGATACTATTTTCAAGCTTTAATATTAATACTTAAATATATCATTTAAACGTTTCAAGAATTTAAAAAGTCTTGCATCATAAAAACATATTTGTTACTCAAAATTTGTCTTATTTCTTTGGATTTCATTAATCATAAATCATTTAATGTTAGGAGTCAAATTAATAGTATACATTTAATCATTTAATATTTAACTTATTTTCTTGATTACTATATTTCTCCCTTTGATTTTTTATTCTTGTGTAACAAACTTGACTGAATATGAAAGTTACTTTGTTTTTCCTATAGTTCTCTGTTATGTAAAAATTCTTCTGCACATTAAAACATCTTTTTGTCTGTTGTAAAATATTACACCATTTGTTCCTTAACATGTTTATAGGTCAACAGCAACATGGCCTCTTGATCCACCAAAGGATGAGAAACAAGGTTGGCGACATGTGAGAATTAAACAGATGGGAAAGAATGCTAGTGGTCAAACTCACTACCTCTCACTGTCTGGATTTGAACTTTATGGCACTGTAAATGGAGTATGTGAAGATCAACTAGGTAAAGAGATGATAATGGGTTTTTCTAACTTACTAAAATAATTATATTTATCTGAAGTGATTTGGTTTATATTTCTCTAATTTTTACCTTACAGGAAAAGCAGCTAAGGAAGCAGAAGCTAATCTTAGAAGACAAAGGCGTCTAGTACGCTCCCAGGTTCTGAAATACATGGTTCCAGGGGCTCGTGTGATCAGAGGCCTTGATTGGAAATGGCGAGATCAGGATGGCAGCCCACAGGGAGAAGGCACCGTCACTGGAGAACTGCATAATGGTGAGTAGGTGCTTAGCATTTGTAGTGTAGAAATTAAGTACTTAACTAACAAAATACTTTTCTTTTGCTATTTTGGGATAATTTATAAATTGTATAAATATCCTAGTTTTATGTAGAAGAACTGATCTGTTGATTTCACATAAAAATGAAAAAAGTCATTTACTTACAAATAAGGGAAATTTTTAAATTTCCTTAGGTTTTGACTCAAAACTTATTGCTAAAATTTCAGAGTTATTAATAAGCTAGTATAAGTTGAATCCACTCAAGGTACATTTTCTGCTTTTTTATTTTTAAGTTTATTATTTGTAAGTTTTCATTGATCTTTACCTTAATACTAGAAGCCTGGTGCATGAAATTCGTGCACTGGTGGGGGGGAGGGGGCGGGGGGGGGCCCTCAGCCCAACCTGCACCTCTTGCAGTCCGGGACCTCTTGGGGGATGTCCGCCTGCCAACTTAGGGAAGTGCATACCCATTTAAAAAATTGTTATTAATTCCCAGATTCAACTATTATGAGTAATTTTTTTGTTTATATCTTAGAAGGTTGATTTATTAGTGCATAATTTGCCTAACCAATGGTGGGTTCTCAGGAAAAGTGACAGTGCTTAGGAAAATGACATTTTTTAAAATATATTTTTATTGATTTTTTACAGAGAGGAAGGTAGAGGGATAGAGAGCTAGAAACATCAATGAGAGAGAGACATTGATCCGCTGCCTCCTGCACACCCTCCACTGGGGATGTGCTCGCAACCAAGGTACATGCCCTTGACTGGAATCGAACCTGGGACCCTTCAGTCCGCAGGCTGACGCTCTATCCACTGAGCCAAACCAGTTAGGGCAACATTTAATATCTGAATATATTCATGTTCTGTATGATAAAGGCTTTAATTTACTTAGATAAACTCTCTGATATTATTGCTTTTAAGATTCTGTTCCTTGAATTATATACTACGAAATGCATTTCTCTAGAGTCATATCCTATTGCAAAGCATTGTTATCGTAGCAGGTTAACAGTAAGTGAGCATGTACATAATTGCTGAAAGTCATAAAAACCAGTAATAGTTGAGATGACAGTAGTACCATTCAACTCAGAAATTTCAAATATGTTTGTTGGTATTTTAAGTACACTTAGTTAATATTCTGTTTCTTTTTTTTTCTTTCTTTTTAATATTCTGTTTCTCCTAAATTGTTTGTTTTGGCTTTTAAGTGTGTGGGCTAGTTTAGGGTATATGTGAATGCAGTTAATTTTTCTTGAGCTAGAATTAACTGAAGCAACTGCATAGGAAAATTGGAATCTTATAACTTCAGAATTCAGCATATAAGAGAGGCTTATTTTTTATCTGACATTTGTAGAGATTCAGAGTTTGGGCTCAACAGGATGACAATTTCTGTTAGTTTACTTTAAAACCTTTATGTCAGAGAGAGTTCTTAGCTTTCAAATACTTAAGCCAACCATTTCTAATAATGGCTAGTTATTACTAACACTATGTTTTTATTTAGTTTGGGGGCATAGGAGCTTAGAGTTGTGTTCCTATATACTTATGGATAGAACATATATACCTTTTCTTAGTCCCCCTTAGACATGAATTTAAACACATTCTCAGACTAATATGAATAGTTTACATTTTAAAATTATTTTTCTACATTATATCAATTAAATCTTTTTTCCCCCTAAAGAATCTATGTGTTGATAGGGATATCCAACCAATGCATATATAATAATTTTTATTTATTCTACAATTATGAATGCCTACACTGTAAAGGTACTTTGTTAGAATTCAGGTATACAGTGGTCAAAGTATGTTCCCCTGCTTCTGGGTGAAACAGATTAACATAATTACAAATTTTTATAAGTGCTGTGAAATAAATTATCAGTGTATATTTGAATCAATTAATGCAATGCAAATGTTATTTTTATTTGGGGCTGGGATATGTTTTTGCACCTTTACTTTTCTTATACTTTTCCATGTTGCAGAAGAGATAGTTAATTGTTGGTCTTCAGAGGTTATTTCAGCATAAAGAATAAATTGAGGCAATTGAAATCTCATGTAAACTAGATTATGTAGATTTGGGGCAGTTTTCCTTTCAAAGAACTCATATGCAGAGAATCCCCACAGGTAATTCAATATTGCTTATACCCCTCTGAACCTCATCATACACATGAATTAACAGTGTGTGTGTATGTGTGGTGTGTGTGTGTACACGTACGTATACATGTGCGTGCATGCGTGCATGCATGTGGGTATGTGTATGGCCGAAGGACTTTTAAACTTTATAAAGACTTGTTATATTTAAAAATAAACATTTTTATGTGTTCTTCTGTGAAATGTAGTTTGTTTATAACACTAAAATAAGATTGTAAAATTTCTAATAGTTTCCTTTAAAATAGGCACTTTATTGTTTTGGGGAGTTAATTTTTTTAAAAAAATAATACGTATAATTTTCCAAATACAAATAAATATAGATTAAATGTCATTTTGCTCATTAGTTCTTCACATGTTGTTAGCTTTAGTATATAGCTTTAGTTATTAGTTTTAGTGAAAGGGCTTAGTATACTTTAAAATTTTTGTTTTTAGGATTTTTCTGTGCTTATTCAGATATATTAAACTTAATCATCAGAGAACCAAGTAACCACTGAACTTTGAGAACACAACCGAAATGCTAACTTAGTGTTATTTGAGCTAGTGACCTAAAATTCCTACAGTGATATATGAATATTTTGTCTGTCAATTATAGGATTTAGCCCAAACTCAGAATTTAATGGTAAACCAGCAATTTTTCTGTAAAGAACATTTGACCACATAATCATATTTAGCAACTAAAAAACTTTTTACTTAGATTTCATCTATATTGCTGAAATTGCAGTATTTTACCATTTGTATTAATTTTTTAAAACAATTTTTAATAGTTCTTCCTCTTAAAAGATACCCCAGTAGACATATATATGACCCTTACATTGTTTTTAAATATCACCAAAATAAACAGTTCAGAAGTAATAGAAATAAAAGGAAGAATTTAATTTTAGTTGGCAGACCTTAAATGACTATAGAAATTCAGACAACACTGATGAAAAGCTGATCCCATATTGTGGAGCTACTGTCTGACACGCTCCTATCTGCTTTCTGCTGGGTCTCACAAACTCCTGTCCCTTTCCAGGCTGGATTGATGTCACCTGGGATGCTGGTGGCTCAAACTCTTACCGTATGGGCGCAGAAGGAAAATTTGACCTCAAGCTTGCACCAGGGTACGACCCTGATACAGTGGCATCACCCAAACCTGTTTCATCCACTGTTTCAGGCACAACGCAATCATGGAGCAGCTTGGTGAAAAACAACTGTCCAGACAAGACATCTGCTGCTGCAGGCTCCTCAAGTAGAAAAGGAAGCAGCAGTTCTGTGTGTAGCGTGGCCAGTAGCAGCGACATCAGCTTGGGTTCGACCAAAACGGAACGGAGATCAGAAATTGTAATGGAACACAGTATAGTTTCAGGAGCTGATGTCCATGAACCAATTGTTGTTCTTTCATCTGCTGAAAACATCCCTCAAACAGAAGTAGGGTCATCATCCAGTGCCAGCACCAGTACCTTAACAGCGGAAACGGGAAGTGAAAATGCTGAAAGAAAGTTAGGCCCTGATAGTTCTGTTCGTACTCCTGGGGAATCTAGTGCAATATCCATGGGAATTGTTAGTGTCAGTTCTCCTGATGTTAGTTCAGTATCTGAGTTAACTAATAAAGAAGCAGCTTCACAACGACCCCTTAGCTCCTCAGCAAGTAACAGACTGTCAGTGAGTTCTTTGTTGGCTGCTGGGGCCCCTATGAGCTCTAGTGCAAGTGTACCTAACCTGTCCTCAAGAGAAACATCTAGCTTGGAGAGTTTTGTAAGGAGAGTGGCAAACATAGCACGGACTAATGCCACGAACAACATGAATCTAAGCCGAAGCAGCAGTGATAACAACACTAATACTTTGGGGAGGAATGTGATGAGCACAGCAAGTAAGTGAGCTTTTCCTTATGGAAACCAATGCCTTTTCCACTCTGAGGGATGCAAAGTAGAGTTTCTTGTTCAGTGGGTTCTGGCTTCAGTCTTGAACTGGAACATTAACCATGTTAGATACAACTCCATCAAATTTAGTACTTCAGTTCTGTAGAATCATATTTAAAGAATTCAGATCAGGTGTGATAATCTCTTATTCTGAAAGGATAAAACAATAACACACTTCTGTTTTTCACTTCTATGATAAATCATTAAGTACAGTTGCATGAGAAAATAGATGACTATTAAATACCATCATAGTCAATTGAAATCAGAGAATCACACTGGTCCTAAATTGTTATTAACTGCTGAAAGTTATTTGATTCTAATTTAAACTACTAACGAGTCAAAGTAGTTCCTTTGGAAAATATTATTGGGAATTATTCCATTGCTTATTTCACCTTTTGTAAAAAGCTAGACTTAATTTTTTTGAAAAATAATAGTGCTATAAAAATAAGAACTTTTAGTTGGATTTCAGTTGGGTTCCCAAAGTTGCTTTTCAGCCATTCAGTAATTTAATGTTTCATGACCTCATTCTTTTTTCTAAAGATGCAACCTAGTTATTCTAAGATTTATAATATTCTACCTATTTGTACTGATTTGCTTCATTTTTATTTTTAGCTTCTCCTCTTATGGGTGCTCAGAGTTTTCCTAATTTGACCACACCTGGTACTACATCAACAGTGACTATGTCAACATCCAGTGTTACGAGCAGCAGCAATGTAGCTACAGCAACAACAGTTTTATCAGTTGGGCAGTCATTAAGTAATACTTTAACCACCAGCCTCACATCAACCTCCAGTGAGAGTGACACAGGTCAGGAAGCAGAGTATTCCTTATATGGTAAGTTATAGTTTAAAATATTTAGATATTTGTATAGAGATGCTTTTATTATGTTTTTCTGCTGTGATTTTAACTTTTAATTAGGAAAGAATTATTCTCCTAACAAATAAGATGAAAAAAGTTACATAATATGAGGGACTGTTAACACATTTCGTACCGCTCAGGAGTTTTCTCGTGTTTTGCGCGCCATCTGTTAAGGACCGCTCACGAGTGTTCTCGTTTTTCACGCCCATGGAAAAAGGAGCGAATCTAGATACTTATGTAAATCTTGTTTGGTCCCTCTTCATAGAGGAAAATGTTTTACGCAGTACCATATGTTAAAAAAGTACTAGGAACTTTAATTGTTTAATTGTTTTTGTAAATAAAAGTGTTATCATTATTGAAAAACAACAGCTAAAGTGCATTATGATGATTTAAATAATGTGCAGTTTGCCCAAAAACATGCGGTCCCTGGCGTATGTCTTAGAGATTTCTATGCAGTATGCAATGTGTTAAGTTATCAGATTATAAAAAGACATCTAAGAATTTTTGTGTTATCCTTTTTTGCGATTTGTCACTAATGACAAATCTTAAGATATTTGACACCTTTATCAGAGAATAGAAGTGTAATAGATTAATAAACTTTGTAAAGTGATATTCCTGTACACTGTAATGTAAGAGGAAAAAAACTTGTGTGTCTTCTCTACTCAATACCGAATACTTTACTTCTGACATGTCTAACTACCAAATGTGTGTGAAGTTTTTCCACACCAAGCAGTTCTCTGACACCACCAGCTAGGCTGTCCTAAAAGTCAACTCAATTCTGACACTCTCTACTCTGAGATAGTGTCAGATCCCACAGTTCAAAGCTCAGTTCTACAACACACACCCCCACTACACTCCCTTTCCCCTTTCCTTCAGAAGCTAATTGTAGGTCCGGGTTGTCATCTCTGTCTCAGACAGACTGGCTATAGGTTGGAGGTCACGACCCTCTCCTCAGATTGGATTCATTTGCTAGAGTGGCTCACAGGACTCAAGAAAATATTTTATTTAGATTACCAGTTTATTATAAAAAGGATATAATTCCAGAAATAGAATTGATCCTTAGGGTGAGGTCTGAAAGAGTCTGTCCCAAGCACAGACACCCTTTGTGTGTGGGGACCCTACTGGAGTCTCCTGGTTGTGTTTTCTTCCCTATTCTGGAAGCTCTCCAAACTCATCATTTGGGTTTTATTGGAGACTTGCTTCATGAATTAGGTGTGATTAAATTAGTAGCCATTGGTGATTGAACTCAGTCTCTGGGTCCTCTTCTCTCCCCAGAGGTCTGGAGGTGAAGTGGAAGTTCTTCTAATTATGGTTGGTTCCATTCATAACCAACCCCCATCCTTAGATTACGTAGGGGCTTTCCAAAAGTCTCCTCATAAAAACAACTCTGGTTATGAAACACAAACGGCACCTTTATTGTTATTATATAGGAAATTCCAAAGGTTTTAGGAGATCAGCTCTTGGAACAGAGGCGAAGACCAAATATAGATTTCTTATTGTCCTATATAATAAAAGCCTAATATGGAAATCAACCAAACTGTGGAACGACCAGTCACTATGATGCGCACAGACCACCAGGGGGCAGACACTCAACACAGGAGTTGCCCTCAGGCCCCAGGCCAGCCAAGGTGGGTGCCAGCAGGGGGCCCTCCTGATCGCCCCACCAGTCACCCCACAGGGTGAAGCGACTGGCAGTGGCTGGGCGAGCAGGGGGCGGGGCCAGCCAGTGAGTGGGCTGACGCTCCCCCCCTTTCCCCCCCCCCATTGCTCTGCAGAAAGCGACAGGCTGTAGTAGTCGCCTCATAAATCGGCCCTGATCGCCAGCCAGGCCTATGGACCCTACCCATGCATGAATATTGTGCATCAGGCCTCTAGTAAATAATAGTATCACAGCTATTATCAAGATCTTTTGGAAATAATACCTTAAATAGGTTACATCTGAATTTTTCAAATTAATTTTTCTAAGAAAGTTTTATAATTGCATCATCATGGCTTCAATACTGTAGTCAGTGATAAAACTACTTGATTCAATTAAAATATATTTCTCATCTTATTTTAATAGAAAATTAAGACATTTTATAGAAAGTAAATATAGATGAAAATAACAATCATCTAGTCCCTACCTTCTGGAAACAATCACTGTTATTTGATACACTAGAGGTCCAGTGCACGGATTTGTGCACCGGTGAGGTCCCTTGGCATGACCTGCAGGGATCCAGGGAGGAGCCGCTCCTGCTCGTCCCTGCCCCAGTAATCCCGGTCAGCTGAGCGACGCTCCCACTGTGGGAGCACACTGACCACCAAGAGGCAGCTCCTGCATTGAGCATCTGCCCCCTGGTGGTAAGTGCGCATCATAGCGAACAGTCAAGTGGTCACTTAGGCTTTTATATATATACACACACCATTTGAGGTGTATGTTCTCTCTTTTTAAACAAAAAGGGATTATGTCCTTTCCAGAGAGCTCGTTTCTCTCAATACATTGTGAAACATTTTCACATTGTTCTGTGGGTTTCTACTATTTGAAATGGCTGCCAAATATGCCACTATTTGACTATATGATCATTGTTTAATAAGTTCTCCATTTTGGTTATTTAAGTTACAGTTTTTGTTTTTTGTAATATATTTTTATTGGTTTCAGAGAGGAAGCGAGAGGGAGAGAGAGATGAAAACATCAATGATGAGAGAGAATCATTGACTGGCTGCCTCCTGCATGGCCCCCCACAGGGGATCGAGCCCACTACCTGGGCATGTGCCCTTGACCTCAATCAAACCTGGGACCTTTCAGTCCATAGGCCGATGCTCTATGCACTGAGCCAAACTAGCTAGGGCTAAGTTACAGTTTTTATTAACATAAACATGGTTATGAATGAACATTTTTGAACCATATTATTGTGTATTTCCTTAGGGTAAATTCCTAACAGAGTAATTGCTGAATTGCACTCCCATCATTGTTTTGGAATACCCTTTACACAGATTCTTGATCACATTGCCTGTTCTTTTTCTTATTTTACTGTTGTTGTTATTTTTTTTTTTAAATTGATTACTTGGTGTGGGAGAGAGAGACAGAAGCATTAATGATGAGAGAGAATCATCAGTGGACTGCCTCCTGCACATCCCTCACTGGAGATGGAGCCCACAGCCCTGACTTGATCCATGACCTCCTGGTTCAGGGGTCAGTGCTCAACCATTGAACAACACTGGACAGACATTATTTTTTAATCCTTGCTTGAGGAGTGCGAATATTTTTTCCATTCATTTTTAGAGAAAGTGTGGAAGGGAGAGGGTACGGGAAGAGAGAGACAGAGACGGGGAGAGAGACAGAGACGGGGAGAGAGAGGGAGAGGGAGAGGGAGAGAGAGAGAAAACATAAATGTGAAAGAGAAATAATCAATTGGTTGCTTTCTGTACATTACCCTATTGAGGATGGACTCTGCAGTCTGGGTGTGTGTCCTAACTGGGAATCAGACCCACCACCTTTGGGTGTACACGATGATGCTCCAGCCAACTGAGCCACACCAGACAGGGCATGCCTGTTTTTAAAAAATTACCCTTGTTGACCAGCCAGTGTTGCTCAGTGGTTGAGAGTTGCCCTCTGAATTAGAAGATCGTGATTCAATTCCTGGTTAGGTTCCTGGCTTGCTCCCCAGTGTAGGGCATGCAGAAGGCAGCTGATCAATGATTCTTTCTCATCATTAATGTTTCTATTTCTCTTCCTCTCCTTCTCTGAAATCAGTAAAAATGTATGTTTAAAAAATTACTGTTAATAATTTCAAATACAAAAAAAGTATATAAAGAATATTTTAAGTACTATTTTATGTATCTCATTACAATGTTTTCTTTCTTTCTGAAAATGTGGCCTCTCCTATTCCAAGCTAAGAATTGGTTCTGATGTATGGTTTTAGGAAAAGCATTACATTTCTCTTTTTTACTTTATCTTTTAAATGTGTAGGTAGCAAATGAAGATGATTATTATTATTTTCAAGTATTGTAAATTTATTGAAAAACTATTTTCCACTTCAGTTTTTCTCACAGAGGCCCTCTCCCCCTTCCTACTATTTCTTAATGTGTTAAAGTTAGCCTTTAATTCATTATTATTTGAAGGTTAAGAAGGTTGTGGGTATGCTAATGGGAGAGAATATTAAAGAGTTAGGGCTCCTTGTTGCCTTTTAAAAATTGTTAGATGATTAAAATTTCCTTTTCTATATTCCTAAAACTAGAGGACTATAAAAGTGCTGCTATGAAGGCTCATAGTAATATCTGTCTTATAAAATAATTTCTGTATATACAAATGTTTACTTTATACACTTTTTTAAAAAAATATATATTTTATTGATTTTTTACAGAGAGGAAGGGAGAGAGACAGAGAATCAGAAACATCGATGGGAGAGAAACATCGATCAGCCGCCTCCTGCACATCTCCCACTGGGAATGTGCCCGCAACCCAGGTACATGCCCTCGACCGGAATCGAACCTGGGACCCTTCAGTCCCCAGGCCGACGCTCTATCCACTGAGCCAAACCGGTTTCGGCTTACTTTTTACACTTTGAGGACCATAATTTGATTCTGTGATGGTCAAATCTATGAAATTTATGGAGCTTTTAAAAACATTCTTATACTTTGATAAAAAAGGGTAGATGAGTTAAAAAAATCTGACTTCAGTGAATTGTAATATATAAAGTTAGATTACTTTCCTTTACAAATGAACCAAAAGTGGAAATGATTTATTATGTAATTATGTATACTGCTACCTCATCATGTTTATGAGAAGCACTGCCTAAATTGTAGGGATAAAATATGTGTTGGGGTAATATATTTCATCGAATTTAAGATGCCATTGTTATAAGAGACACCATTATTTTATGTCACTAAGGGAAAAAGTGTTGCCAGTTTAGCTGTGACTTGCCATTGCTTGTAACATACATTCTGATTTCAGAATATTAAAGTGCTAAAAACTGTGTATCTTAGAAACTAGGTGAATATAGTATAAGGCCTCTTATAGTCATTCAGTGAAAGGCATTGAATTTTTAGTTTTATGTAATTATTAGGCTTAAAATATATTTGGTTCACACGTCTGCAGATGTACGTATCTACTAAATAATTATAAATTCTCTTCTGTATGTTCTTTCGGGATATAGTGTATAATCCTTAAGTAGTAATTATCATTAAGTAACTTGCCAGGTCACATAGCTAAGATCTCTGTGATTGACTTATCTTGTCCTTTTCCCTCATAAGATCTTTTATAGTTCATATTAATATATTCATTTGTATACTTTTTAAATGTCTGTCTCCCCTGCCTTTCCGGGGGGCTCAAATCTTGTCTGTTCTGTTTGCAACAGTAGTCATGTACTACTTAACTGGGATACATTCTGAGAAATGCATTATTAAGCAATTTCATCCTTGTACAATCATGACAGAGTGTACTTACACAAAATTAGATGGTCTATAGCAGTGATGGCGAACTTATGACACGCGTGTCAGAGGTGACACGCGAACTCGTTTTTTTGGTTGATTTTTCTTTGTTAAATGGCATTTAAATATATAAAATAAATATCAAAAATATAAGTCTTTGTTTTACTATGGTTGCAAATATCAAAAAATTTCTATATGTGACACGGCACCAGAGTTAAGTTAGGGTTTTTCAAAATGCTGACACACCTCCTAAATACCCTAGGCTGTATGGTATAACCTATTGCTCCAGATTACAAACCTGTACAGATGTTACTGTACTGAATACTGTAGGCAGTTGTAACACAATGACAAATATTTGTGTATCTAAACATGTAAATGTAGAAAATGTATAGTAAAAATATGGTGCAAATTATTTTTAAAATGGTACACTTGCATAGGGCACTTGAATGGAACTTGCAGGACTAGAAATTGTTCTGGCTAAGTCATTGAGTGAATGGTGAGTGAATGCGTGAATGTAAAGGCCTATGACATTATTTATGCTATCGTATACTTTATAAACACTGTACACTTAGGTTACACTGAATTCATAAAACACAAGTTAAATCAAGCACAAGAGAAAATGATCAAGAGATGTGTTAAACATGAGATGTATGAGGCTGCTGCTTGTGTAACATGGCACAGCATTTTACTGCAAACTTTTTTTTTAAGTAGAAAGAGTACACTCTACAATAATAATAAAAAGCATATGGTGAGCATATACATAAACCAGTAACATACTCATTTATTTTCATTATGAAGCATTATGTACTATCCCTAATACATGTGTTATTTATTGGCAATGCAGTAGACTTGTTTATACCAGCATCACCACAAACACATGAGTACTGCATTGTGCTATGACATGGCAGTTGAGATAGGCATATTTCAGTTCCATTATAATCTTTAAAATATATATATATTTTTATTGATTTCAGAGAGGAATGGAGAGGGAGAGCGAGACAGAAATATCAATGATGAGAGAGAGTCGTTGATTGGCTACCTCCTGCAAGCCTTACACTGGAGATTGAGCCTGTAACCTGGGCATGTGCCCTGACCAGGAATCAAACCATGACTTCCTGGTTCATAGGTCAACGCTCAACCATTGAGCCATAGTGTCTGGGCTCCATTATAATCTTAATGGAACCACCATTGAATATGTGGTCTGTCGTTGACCAAAACATTATGCAGCACTTGACTCTATAGCTATATATATATATATATGTATATATATATAGATATCACAGAGAGAAAGAGTATACATGTGTAAGCGACAACATGAGCATGTAAGTGAACAGGCTATGTTCCTTCCAAAGTCTAGCATCTGGAAATATCTTTGGGATGGCCCAGTACATTTACAACTAGAAATGAAGGCATGAACATCTTTTTGTGTATTTTTTTAAAAGCTCCAAATAAAACTCATTACAACTTTTTCAATGACTAAAGCCATAAAAACCGCCCACCCCAATCCCAACCACCAAAAAACATTATTCGCATACTGTATGAAAAACTATATCATTAGTATAGATAAAATAAAAATAATCTGTCATCAGAAAATATTGAATCTAACTATGTGGCTCATAACTGTATATATCTCGTGCTTAACACAATTCTTGACCCATTGTAGGTACTCTGTAGATATTTGTTGACATGTTATGCTAACTGTGACTTATGCAGAGATTGATAATATGATGGTTGTTATATTGTATCATAGTCCATATTGTTGACCTTTTATATTATGGTTTTGTAGATTTGGATTTAGTTTATGATCATTCTTTATCCCATGTTGATTTTTTGTTAGGCTTTGTTAATTGTGTTGAGAGTAAGGTTGTTGGTTTTGTTTTCTAGATTTTCTTGATAGCTGCCGTGCCAGTACCCTGTTAGCTGAGCTAGATGATGATGAGGACTTGCCTGAGCCAGATGAGGAAGATGATGAAAATGAAGATGACAATCAGGAGGACCAGGAATACGAGGAGGTTATGGTAGAGAGAGTCCCCTATTCTCTTAACTAAGATAAAATATTAATATTTGAAACGAATAGAGGAAAAGCAAAGTCCTGGTTAAACTTTGGAGCAAGGAAATATGGTACCAGTACGAAAAATGTGGTTAATTATGAAAAATGCTGTTAATATGAGCATTTATGATTCTCTTCTAAAAGGCAGTTGTAACACAATGACAAATATTTGTGTATCTAAACAAGTTTTTTTTATATTTGAAAAATACTACAATATCACATATTTTAACAGATTTAAAACACTAATCCTAAAGAATACAATTTTCATGGTTCATCTGCAATATTTATACATAGAATTTTTTAGTGTCTACTGTTTTTGTTTTTTTAAATTCTTTATTGTTTGAAGTATTCCATATGTCTCTTTTCCCCCCCATTGACCTCTTTCCGTCCACTCCCACACCCCAGCACATGTCCTCACCCCCCTAGTATCTGTGTACATTAGCCATGCCTATATGCATGCATACAAGTCCTTTGGTTGATCTCTTACCCCCTACCCTCACCCCAGGGTCTACTGTTTTGAAAGCAGTATCTGTTCTCATCAGTCCTTATACAGAGCTATGAAGTACAGGCATAGAAGAAATAATTTACCCTAATTAATAAGAGTTAAGTGGAAAAAGTGTTGCCAGTTTAGCTGTGACTTTCCATTGCAGTATGATCCAGAATCCCAGTGTTTAACCACAGTGATAGTCTTTGAATTGAACTCTTGACTGAAAATACTCTATTTAAATGTATTTATTTTTATTTTTTTTAAATGAAATGTTACTAAATTTTGAAAAGCTTCATAAGTTGCAGTGTTTAGTTTTTTTGTTGTTCTTGGTTACTCTTCACCCAAAGATATTTTTTCCATTGGTTTTTAGAGAGAGTGTAAGGGAGAAAAGGTGGGGAGGAGGGAGGGAGGGAGGGAGGAAATGGGGGGACACTTATGGCATAAGAGAGAGAGAAGAGAAAGAGAGAGAGAGAGAGAGAGAGAGACATCGATATGAGAGATACATCGATTGGTTGCCTCCCAGATTCATCCCCAATGGGGCCAGGTAGCAAACCTGCAACCCAGGTATATGCTCTGACCTGGAATTTGAACCTGAGACCCTTTGGTGCATGGGACGATGCTCTAACCACAACGCAACACTGGCCAGGGTATAAGTTAGAGTTTTAATGGGGTGAAGAACTCAAATGCTTTTAGTATATGTTGCTTGGGAAACAGTATGCCAGCATATTTCTTGTGGTGTTAATATATGATGCATGATGAATTTAAAACATTCATTTTATAACTTTTATGAAGATGGCTAGTGAATATGAAGTTTTTTTAATGACAGTTTTGGTAATATGGGTTGATAGTTTCAAGTCAAGACTGAATAAGGATATATATGGATCAAATAATTAGATGTCTCTACATATATTTAAAAATCAGATTCTGAGACGTCCATCCCTGCAGCGACGAGCCGGCTCTCGCTCTGATGTAACGCACCATGCTGTCACTTCACAGCTACCACAGGTTCCTGCTGGAGGTGGGAGCCGACCTATTGGGGAGCAGGTAATATCTTCATGTTTATCATGCCCACAATGTATTTTTTCCCCTTTCACAGTAAAGGATCAACCAAAATGTCTAGAAAAATATACAGGGAAAGGAGAGAGAGTTAAAAAATGGAATTAACAAAAAGAAACTTCCCGGGGGAGGATGGGAGAGGGCTAAAAGAGGTTAATGGGGGAGGGGGGGACCTATGTAATACTTTCAACAATAAAGTTCCAAATAGAGTCCAGATTGCTCTGATATAAGGCATATAGGGGTTTGTTACCTGAAACTCTCTTCCCCTTCTCCTTTATTTAAACATATACTAAACATATACTAAACATACACTAAAATAGTTAATAGCTATTATTTAAGACTTAGTTTTCATAGTAGTAGTAGAGGTAGTACTATTAGTCTGTTAACTAACATTTACCGATTATTAATTGAGTGCTAGACATTTTCAGTCCTTTCAACAACCCTTTGACAGTTACTTTTAGTCCTAATCTTCGAGGATGATTTTAAAGGTCACACATAGAAGTGTTGAATCCAGGATGAAAACCCAGACATTCTGGCTCTAGAGCTGTCAAATGTCAGTTTGATTTGTTTATAAAAGTTAATTTCAGTTATGTGTTCAAAATATAAGGGGCTATGTGTGTGTGCAACTACATACATAATTATTATTAAAATTATTACAACAGACATTTACAACATTTACAGTTCATTGATCTCTCTTTTGTTGATACTAAAAGTGAAGGAGAAGAGACAGTGTTAAATAACTTTTATTATGAAAAATTTAAAATATGCAGGAAATTGAATAGTATGATGATGCCCCAAAGACCCATCATTTGACTTAAACAGTTATCAATGCTTTGTCAAAATGTTTGATTTGCCCCATAGTAATTTAAAGCAACTCCCAAGCATTATAGTATTTTTACCTAATTCAATATGTAATACAATTTACATTTTTTAATAAAGCACCTATTTAAAAATAAATATAGGTTCATTGGAAGATGCTCAGATAGTTTAGAGAGGTGTTATGTGTACTTTACCCAATTTCTTCCAATGGTCACAATTAGAGTACAACTTGAAAACCAAGAAATTGACATTGGTGCAATGTGTATATGGTTCATTGTCATTTTATCTCATGTAGATTTCTGTAACCACCACTAATGCAACTTACTTTTGATAAACTTAAATTGTAAAGAACTGTATGTACTACCTATGTATGTCTGTGTAGGCTCATTTTGTGCTTAAGAAATATGGCTAACTAAGGAGTGTAATAGCTATAGAAAAGAACTTAAACATATACCTTATTTTATTTTTAATTTAATTGGTTTCAGAGAGGAAGGGAAAGGGAGAGAGAGATAAAAACATTATTGATGAGAGAGAATCATTGATCGGCTGCTTCCTGCATGCCTCCTACTGGGGATCGAGCCCGTAACCCGAACATGTGCCCTTGGCTGGAATCGAACTGGGGACCCTTCTGTCCGCAGGCCAACACTCTATCTGCAGAGCCAAACCAGCTAGGGCCATATACCTTACTTTATAGATAGCACATCACTTTTGCAATACTGAAGTTTTATAATATTTGTGAATTTTATTTTTGTTTATTTTTTAAAATACATTTTTTTAAAAAATATATATTTTGTTGATTTTAACCAGTTTTGGCTTAAAATACATTTTTATTGATTTTCTAGAGAGTGGAAGGGAGAGGAATAGAGTGATAGAAACATTGATGAGAGAGAAACATCAATTGGCTGCCTCCTGCATGCCCCTTAATAGGTATCGAGCCTGCAACCTAGAAAAGTGCCCTGTTTGAGAATCAAACCGTGACCTCCTGTTCTGCTTCATGGGCTGATGTTCAACCACTGAGCCACACTGACCACGCAGAAATTTTATTTTTATAGGAAGAAGAAGAGTATGAAACTAAAGGAGGACGCCGGAGGACATGGGATGATGATTATGTGCTGAAGCGGCAGTTTTCTGCTTTGGTTCCTGCTTTTGATCCTAGACCGGGTCGTACTAATGTCCAACAGACAACTGATCTAGAAATTCCACCTCCAGGTATGGTACATTTTAGTTTTTGTGAGTTAATTTTTAATAAATAACAAAGTAATTATACACAATTAGAAAAGTAATATACAGGCTATAAATAATAGTTTTCAAGAAAAAACTATATATCAGCCACAAGTCCTTAAAAAATAGATTTTTTTAAAAGGAAAAGATAGTCTTTTTAAAACGCTGTTTTGTACTTACGTAATTTTATTAAACTGATAAGAACAGATACTACACTTGATCTTAGCCAAAAGGCCGAGAAGCGATGTACTTACGTAATTTTAAAAGCAAGGCTTCATTTAAAGATGGATACTTTGTATTTTATTTTGTACTGGATCAAAATTGCTAAGTATTATTCCTTTTCATTTTTTTCTTTGAAAAGCTATATCGAGGTTTCAGTTAGATCCTCCGGAGTCAGTCAGCCTCAGTGGCAACTTTATTTCTTGCAACTCTATTTTGTATGTAGTAGATACACTAATGACCCCCCAAAGATTATATAGATCCTAACCTCCAGAATATGAGAAGATGTTACCCTAATGTGATGAGAGAGATTTTGCAGATATGCTTAAAGATTTTGAAATGGGCAGACTAGCCTGGATTATCTGGTTGAGTCCAGTGTAATCACCAGTGTCCTAATAAGAGGGAGTCAGGAGGGTCAGAGTCAGAAGAGGATTTGACTAAAGATACAATGGGATGTCATACAGTGAATATAATACTTTTGAAAACTCTTATCTAATTATATGAGGGAATGATTCTTGTCCTAGTAAAAAAGAGAATATACCACCAAATGCACTATTTGTGCTTGTGTGTGTGTGTGTGTGTGTGTGTGTGTGTGTGTCCATCCTCACAGCCCACTCATTCAGTATAAGCAAAAGGCTATTAACCAAAGTATGTATTTTTTCTCTGGATGTAGAAATATCAATAATTTTAGTTTTTTTATTTGTAAAAGTAAAATGTCTTTAAAATATTCATATAGTTAACATATTTCCTATTAAAATGAGAGATTCGTTTCATATGCATAAGTTTTACTCTGTATTCTCTGTCTTTAGGTAACCTATTATTCCTATTTGAAAAAAAAGAAAATGTTGAGGCCAGGAGAGCCTTTAATAACTGATATTGTTAGTCAATATATATGGCAGAAGGGTTTAGATTTCACATAGCCCTTGTTGTCTAGTGCAGAGTTTTACTGTACTGTAATTGATTTTCATGTCTTCTCATATTTTTAGGAACACCTCATTCAGAACTCTTGGAAGAAGTAGAATGTACTCCATCACCTCGATTAGCCCTCACTTTGAAAGTAACAGGTCTTGGAACAACTCGAGAGGTTGAATTACCCCTCACCAATTTTAGATCAACCATCTTTTACTATGTACAAAAATTGCTTCAATTATCCTGTAATGGCAATGTGAAATCAGATAAACTTAGACGTATTTGGGAGCCAACATACACGTAAGAGATTTTAATTTAATTTTTTAGGTATATATTTTCTTAATATATAAGCCAAGAAGCTTTGTATTTCTATGTTCTATGTATAGGAACAGAAAAGATTTGGTTTTGGTCTGTTGGTTTACAGGAACAGATAAGATCATTTTTGATTCCTGATGTGGAAAGGTTAAGGTTCACAACTGAAAGGAACTTTTGAAATAATCAAAACTAGTGCCTTATGTAATAACTAGAGGCCCAGTGCACGAAATTCATGCATGGATAGGGTTGCTAGTGGCTGCTGGCTGCTGGCCAGGGCCTTCCTTCATTCCGTGCCACCCCCTTATGGCCAGCTTATGTCATAGTGAGTGAGTGAACTCCCGGTTGGTCAAACTCCCAAGGGGACACTTTACATGCTAGGCTTTTATATATATATATAGAATAGATTGTTGACCTCTAACTGGGATTGTGTATGAAATACTAAATATTTGTTATTTGTTATTTGTTCTGCGGGCTGTGAGTTAAGTTTACCACCAATCTTTGTTCATTCATTCATTCAACAAATGATTATCAGTGAACTTGGGCCAGTGTGTTTAACAACATTTTAATACCTCAGTTTCCTAATCTTATAAAATGAGAATGTTTGTGAGGAATCAATGAATTAATATATGTAAAGTGTTTCAGTAATCTATGATGTAGAAAATACTCAGTATTACCTATAATAGTAATTTATTATTTATATTAAAATTTTTATACTATAACATTAATATACACATATTTTATGTTATATTACTACATATTTGTATTATATAAGTAATAAGTAATTATATAATTCTTATTTGACTTTACTTTTGTTGGTGTATTTTTCTGTTGTTCTCTTAACATTGATAATCTTATCTAATGTCCAATAAAGTAATCTAGGTCCTTTGAGTTAGAATAGAAGGTCATCATGCCAAATTCCGACCCCCTCCCCCGCATTCAATTTTTATCTCAAGTGCGTTACATGTTACTTCATATTTTTAAATATTCCAGGTTTATTGTATGTTTTCTCTGCAATAATGCTAAATTTATAAACCATAACTCTTTTTCAGGAATATGATTTGTTACTTTCCACTATTTAACAAATTAATATTTTTTTCTCATAAGTTCTCCCTGAGTTCAATGTTTAATGTAAGCATATGGCAGCATTCATATATTTTCTGAAAACTGAAGTCTTACTGGAAATAACCACAAATCATTTGCTGTAAGAATTAACTTGAATAATATCTTCATGTTTAGAATCATGTACAGAGAAATGAAGGATTCTGACAAGGAAAAGGAAAATGAAAAAATGGTAAGTTACTTTAGAAAATGGGTCTTATTGGCTATTTAAAGAAAAAGAAAACTAACACTGTTTAACTGAACATTTGAGGGAAAAATTAGTAACATGGAATCCTTTAAATTAGGTTAAATGCATGATCTTGAAGTTAACTTTGATAATGCATGTGAAATAGCATAGACTTTATAATCAGGAAAGGCCAACATTTGGTTTTTCCTATTGTAGGGTTGTTGGTCTATAGAGCATGTGGAACAGTACCTTGGCACTGATGAATTACCAAAGAATGACTTGATAACCTACCTGCAGAAGAATGCAGATGCTGCTTTCCTGCGCCACTGGAAATTAACTGGCACTAATAAAAGTATTAGGAAAAACAGAAATTGTTCTCAGCTCATAGCTGCATATAAGGTATATATTGGCATCAAAACACTGTTTGGGTTGGGAATGGCTTTGTGCTTTGTTTTGCAACTTTTAAGAATTCTTAAGGAAGGGAGGTTTATTGGAACATACTAAAAAAAAGAAGTTGGATTAACAATATGACAATGCCAAAATTTCAGATATGGTTTATGATATTGTAATCTAAGTGTGTAGTTTTAACTGGCTTTTTAGTAGTTTTATTTGGGAATTTAATGGTTTAGAACACATTAATTTTCTACTTTAGTAATACTGGTTTTATTTATAAAGAAGGCAATTCTTTGAAAAATTCTAGACTTTTCAAGGTAATACTAATGGGATGATACATTGCTTTTTGAAAATATGATTAATAGCTAGTTTTGCTGATTGTTTCCTCAGGATTTTTGTGAGCATGGAACAAAGTCTGGCTTAAACCAGGGGGCCATTTCTACTCTTCAAAGTAGTGATATTCTTAATTTGACAAAAGAACAACCTCAGGCCAAAGCTGGGAATGGACAGAACTCTTGTGGAGTAGAAGATGTCCTTCAGCTGCTGCGTATTCTGTATATAGTTGCAAGTGACCCTTATTCAAGAATATCCCAAGAAGGTTTGTAAGAGCCTTGTTTTATTCCTGTGGCATTTTTAAAAGCAAGTCCATTTATATTTTATTAACTTTATTAATTTTATTGATTTTACAGAAGGTGATGAGCAGCCTCAGTTTACTTTCCCACCAGATGAATTCACTAGCAAAAAAATCACAACAAAAATTTTGCAGCAGATTGAGGTAATAATAACAGATAGTTATTAAACTCTTCAATCTGTCACCATTGGACTTTCAAAGTATTGCCTCTTATTCCTTTACTAGACTTCCTACCATCTCTCCCTTCCCTCTGATCCAATGGTTTGGGTTACATGGTCTATTGCATTAATATCTTTAATTACACATAAGAATTGACTCCTGCCCAGTTGGTATGGTTCAGTGGTTGAGCGTTCACCTATGAAAGGAGAGATCACTGGTTCGTTTCCTGGTCAGGGCACATTGCCTGGGTTGCGGGCACCATCCCCAGTAGAGGACATGCAGGAGACAGGTGATCAGTGTTTCCCTCTCACCTGTGTTTCTATCTCTATTTCGTGCCCTTCCTCTCCAAAATAAATAAATAAATGAATGAATGAATGAATGAATGAATCAGTGTTTCCCTCTCACCTGTGTTTCTATCTCTATTTCGTGCCCTTCCTCTCCAAAATAAATAAATAAATGAATGAATGAATGAATGAATGAATAAATAAATAAATAATATAAAAAACATATTTAAGAAAAATTGACTTCCTTTTGTCTTTTTAAATAATTGCCTGAAGATATTGTTTTTTGTTAATTTGCAGGAACCATTGGCATTGGCAAGTGGGGCTCTGCCAGATTGGTGTGAACAATTAACCAGCAAGTGTCCTTTTCTAATACCATTTGACACTAGACAACTTTATTTTACCTGTACTGCATTTGGTGCATCAAGGTAAGAAGTGTATCCTTTTATATTTTCAGAATATTTTTTTAATGTTAAGTAAGCTCAGAATGTACTAATATACTTTATATCAAGACTAATTAAGGGAATATATTATCTTGTTTTTTTTCTTAAAAGAGTTTTCAACATTTAAATGTTACTGTGTTTCTAGTTGGATCTATACTATCTTGGAGTGGTATGAATTGATCTCTTAGAATAGTGTGGGTTGGGAAAACCGTCATCCCTTGGTATCCATGGGAGATTGGTTCCAGGACCCCGGGGGAAACTAAAATCCATGGGTGCTCAAGTCTCTTAGCACTCTGTATCTGTGGGTTCTGCATCCGTGGATACAGAGGGCCAACCATAATGTGTTGTGTCAGGTAGCATTTACTATACAGTTCTTTAATAGCGTATATAATTATTAGTTGCTGAAATTCCCAGAAATACCAAATTAAATGCTTGCAAATAGCTTTGGTAGCATTGAAATATATTTGCCTTCTGGCCATCTAATATAATACATATTTTACTTAAATATTTTTGTTTTTCTCTCTCCTGTGCTAGATGAAAGTTTCATGAGAGTAGGAATTTCTAGCTGTCTTATTCAAAGTAGATGTAAAAAGTTATAAGTTCAAATGAAGTTGTTTTCCTAATAAGTTAAATTGCATCATTTTATACCATTTACAAAGCATTTGTACACCCAGAACTACAGAGCTAGTGCGATAAATGGCATTATTTATGATTTCTGTTTTATAGATGAGGAAATTGATTCTCCAAAGTACTTACCTGAGTTGCCTGTGATTGACAAAAAAGTCATAACACACATGACAATGGATCTTTCATCTTATTTTTAGCTTAAGATTCTTTCTCCCACCCTAGACAGGTTTGCTCTGCATTAAAAAGAAAATGTTTTTAAATCAGACTACCATTTTTTAAAATAAGAGTTTATTAGAGTGCATTTGAGTTAGAGTAATATGATTTCTGTTCACATTTGGAAGCAAGGTCTCAATGGACTGAGAGTTAGGAAATGTTTGTAGTTTTATGTACTGGTTTAGTTGTACATTCAACTGTTGCTGTATGTTGCAGTTACATAGATTTTTTTTCTATTTCAGAGCAATAGTGTGGTTACAAAACCGACGTGAAGCCACTGTGGAAAGAACAAGGACCACAAGTAGTGTAAGGCGAGATGATCCTGGAGAGTTTCGAGTTGGTCGTCTCAAGCATGAGAGAGTAAAAGTTCCACGTGGTGAATCGCTGATGGAATGGGCTGAGAACGTTATGCAAATACATGCAGACCGGAAATCAGTTCTTGAGGTAACAGAACCAGCCAGTCTGTTCTGGTTGGATAGAATTACAGAGGAATTTCTCTCTCCTTTCTCCAAAGGCCTCCTCTGGCACAGCATCTTTCATAAGAGGATGTCAGCTCACCTTAGGGGTCAGGATCTTGTGATTTAACGAGCAACAGAGATCATCACTCTTGAGATAGGGACTTGCTTCATCTATTTATTAACAAAACCTGGACCAAATAATAGTACTCACAAAGGATTCTTTTTGATACCTAAATGTTACCTTTATATTAAGCTATGCTATTAGATAGATATCTCTATTTTTGGAGCACACTTTTATAATATTGTTTCACTTAAATTGTGCTTGGTACTATAAAATTGGTCTATATTTAGAGATGTTATAATAAATGGCAGTATGAAGTTCAATACATTTACAATAGAGATGCTATTGTGGGCATTGTTGATTATATGTTACATACATATTATTTCTTTTATGAGGGATAATGGAAGAAATATCTCTCCTGTCAACAGATTTGCTGGTTTATCTTTTGGATCACAGACTGATCCCAGCAAATATATCTCTAGAAAATATATAAGGCTTATACTTTCTATCATTATATTCCTCTAACCTTATTTATTTAGTTTTACTTTACACTGTGTATTTTTGAAGGCTGCCTTAAAGCATTTTTGAACAGATAGAGTACGGATAAAACCTTTCAAGTGATTACCTAAAGTCAGAAATAAGTGGAAAAGTTTAGGTTTTGGTGTTAGATAGACACATACAAATCTGTATACCATCATTTCCTTGAGCAAATGATTTACTAGTAATCTCTTTATCTAAAATTTGGTTTCCTTCATTATAAAAAGGAGATTATATAGTAGTCCACCCATATCCAAGGTTTCACTTTCCATGGTTTCAATTACCCTCGATCAATAGCAGTCCGACATTAACAAATGGAAAATTTCAGAAATAAACATTTTATAACTTAAATTGCCCTCATTCTGAACTTGATGCAATATTATGCTGTCTGTGAATCATCCCGTTGTTTGGTGTATCCATGCTGTATAGGCTACCTGTCTGTTAGTCACTTAGAAACTGTCTCTTGAGAGAGACACATTCACATAACTATTATTATAGTATATTGTTTTATTACTGTTTAATCTCTTATTGTGCTTACAAATTAAACTTTCCATAGATAGGTTATATATAGAAAAAAGTATAGTATATATAGGGTTTGGTGTTATTCATGGTTTTAAGCACCCACTGGGGATATTGGAACATATTCCCCCAGGAATAGAAAGAAATTACTGCAATCTATTTTGTAGAGTTGTTGAGAGAAGTAAATTTATGAATGCTCACCATAGTATTTAAATGTAATAGTATATAATAAACATGAAAAAAACTTCCATGTTGCTTATATTATACTGTTGCTATAAAACAGGTATATTACTGGATTGGAAATGACTAATTTTGGAAAGAATGGGATCATTTAAGCCCACTTCTCCCTATTTTTTTGGTTCATATTTTAGGTTGAATTTTTAGGAGAGGAAGGAACTGGCTTGGGACCCACATTAGAGTTTTATGCTCTGGTGGCAGCAGAATTCCAGAGAACTGACTTGGGAACTTGGCTCTGTGATGATAACTTTCCAGATGATGAATCTCGCCAGGTAAGATTTACTTCATTCTTTTTTTTTTAAATATATTTTATTGGTTTTTCACAGAGAGGAAGGGAGAGGGATAGAGAGTTAGAAACATTGATGAGAGAGAAAGATCCATCAGCTGCCTCCTGCACGCCCCCCACCGGGGATGCACCCGCAACCAAGGTACATGCCCTTGACCGGAATCGAACCTGGGACCCTTCAGTCCGCAGGCCGACGCTCTATCCACTGAGACAAACCGGTTCAGCTATTTCATTTTTTGATTTGATTTGTGATTTTGCTTTTAGAAAGTGTTATAAATATGTTATGCTTTTAGAACATATGCCAGTTTTTGAACCTTTATTTATTCTATCCTATCTAATAAAAGAGAAACATGGTAATTAGCCATACCTCCGCTACCCTTCCCATTGGCTAATCAGGGCAATATGCAAAGTAACTGCCAGCCAAGATGGCGGCCGGCAGCCAGGCAGCTTAAAGCAAACAGGAGGCTTGCTTCCTTCAGTGACAAAGGAAGCCAACGTTCCCCGCCTGCCACTGCCGGCCTCTGAGCTTGCAGTTTGAAACATTGTTACAAATATAGAAGCTAAACAAACTCCAGAAACCTGCTTTGAGCCAGCTGGGATCTCAGAGCTGGGTGTGACCAGCTGCAAACAGCCATCAGCCTCTCACCCAGGCTGGCCAGGCACCCAAGTGGGACCCCCACCCTGATCCAGGACACCTTTCAGGGCAAACCAGCCGGCCCCCACCCGTGCCCCAGGCCTCTGTCCTATATGGTAAAAGGGTAATATGCCTCCCAGCACTGGGATCAGCAGAGCCGCGAGGCCTTCTGGGACGGGGATCAGCGTGACGGAGCAGCACCCAAACCCCCTGATTGCCCTGCGGCTCTGTGTGTGGCGGGGCGGGGCCACAACCTCCCTATCTGCCCTGCTCTGTTCGTGACAGGGCAAGGCACCCCAACCCCCTGATCGCCCTGTGGCTCTGTGTGTGACAGGGTGTGGCGCCCCAACCCCCTGATCCGCCCTGCTCTGTGTGTGACAGGGGGCAGTGCCCCAACTCCCCTATCGGCCCTACTCTGTGAGTGACAGGGGGGAGCTCCCCAATCCCCTGATGGGCCTTGCTCTGTGCGTGACGGGGGGGAAGCTCCCTAACCCCCTGATTGACCCTGCTCTGTGTGTGACAGGGTACGGAGCCCCAACCCCCCTGATGGGCCCTGCTCTGTGAGTGACAGGGGGCAGTGCCCTAACCTCCTGCTTGGCCCTGCTCTGTGCATGACGGGGTGGCGCCCCAACTCCCCAAGCAGCCCTGCTCTGAGCCCAACCAGGGGCTGCACCTAGGGATTGGGCCTGCCCTCTGCCACCCGGGAGTAGGCCTAAACCAGCAGGTCGTTATCTCCTGAGGGGTCCCAGCCTGCTAGAGGGCACAGGCCGGGCTGAGGGACCTCCCCGCCCCCTTGAGTGCACAAATTTTTGTGCACCAGGCCTCTAGTATATAATAAAGCTATAATATGCAAATTGACCCTCACAAGATGGCTGCCTATGACCAGGCTGGTAAGGGGTTAGTGAGAGACGACCAAACGAATGAATAGCAGGCTGCGTGGGGCGATCAGGCTGGAGGGGGGATTGTGAGGGTCGACTAGGCCGGCTGGGGTCAGTCGGGAACGACCAGGCCAACCAGGCCGACAGAGGGGAGGCAGTTGGGGGTGACCAGGCAGGCAGGCAGGTGAGCGATTTAGTTATTCAATAATCTTGCTGTTACTAAATGTTTTTAAAGGATAATATTTAGTCACAAAAAATAATTTAATAAAATGTGTATATACTTTTAGATAGCTAAATAGAAGATGTTTACTATTTATAGATCTTTAATTTTATTTACATTTCTCCCTCTAAAAAATTAGGTTGATCTTGGAGGTGGGTTGAAACCTCCTGGATACTATGTGCAGAGATCATGTGGACTGTTCACGGCACCATTTCCACAAGATAGTGATGAACTTGAAAGGATCACAAAACTCTTTCATTTCCTTGGAATTTTCTTGGCCAAATGCATTCAAGACAACAGACTTGTGGACTTACCTATTTCCAAACCTTTCTTTAAACTTATGTGTATGGGTGACATTAAAAGCAATATCAGTAAACTCATTTATGAGTCACGAGGTGATCGAGACTTACATTGTACTGAGAGTCAGTCTGAAGCTTCTACAGAAGAAGGTCATGATTCCCTCTCTGTAGGAAGCTTTGAAGAGGATTCAAAATCAGAGTTTATTCTGGATCCTCCCAAACCCAAACCTCCAGCTTGGTTTAATGGAATTTTAACTTGGGAAGACTTTGAACTCGTTAACCCACACAGAGCCAGATTTTTAAAAGAAATTAAAGACCTTGCTATCAAGAGGCGCCAGATTTTAAGCAACAAAGCTCTTTCAGAAGATGAGAAGAACACAAAATTACAGGAATTAGTGCTGAAAAATCCATCAGGATCTGGGCCTCCACTTAGTATAGAGGATTTAGGGTAAGCTTTATATAAACATTCTTCAACCTAAGTTCTAAAGCTTTTGTTTTTTTTTGTCCCCACTAATTTGCAATATATGAGTAAGCCTGTTAAGAACAATAATATGCTATAGGAAATATTGATTATTGATTTGAACCTTCGATTTGCTATATCAATAGACCTCTGAAAGATTATCTGATTTGTCAAATGTGATAAATGTATCTTCTGTGAAAAAAGTCCAAAGCCAAAAATATTTTGACAGATTTATTAGCTAATTAATAAATAGCCTACTTGGCAAAGCTCAAAGTAGCTTGCTTTGTGAGTAAGCCTTATCCCCAGTGGCTGCGTTAACTAACACATGCTGCAGGTCTTTTGATAAAATTCTATTATTTTATATCTATACTAATAGAAGGGTAATATGCTCATTAGACCAGATAGACATCTTGCAGACATCCTTCTGGACAAAGCTGCAGCTGCTGCGAGGGCTGAGCAAGGCCAGCAGCCACAGTGGCTGTGAGGACCGGTAGTCGCGGCAGCAGCTGGGTGATGGGGGTGGTGCCTTCCCCTTATTGGCCCGGTTGCTTCCCGCAGAGGGAAGACATCGGTAGGACATCCCCTGAGGGCTCCTGGACTGTGAGAGGGGTCAGGCCCGGCTGAGGGACCCCTGCCCACAGTGCATGAATTTTCGTGCACTGGACCTCTAGTATATATATAATTAATCTAGCCTCGGTATATTTTACTATGATTTTGGGTTGACTACAAGGCTTGCTTTTTCTCCCTTCCTCCCTGTCTTTCCCTCCCTCCCTTATATTCAGGGTTTAATGGTGGGTGTCACAGCATGAATAACATCAGTGAAGCAATAGGTCCTTCCTGCAAAAAAACAATTAAAAAATCTTATAAATATGTCACAATTCACTGCAAAAATGTTTAGTTCATTCATTTTGTTTCATATGCGGAAAATGAAATATGGAAAGGTGGTGGTTTTATGCAGTCTTTTCAAAGCCAGGTTAGGGAACAGGTTTGTCCTAATAGTTTTTGTGTACAGAGTTTGCATTTACGAGTGCTATATACTTAATATCTAAGCTAAGTACAGTGATGTTGCTTGAGAAGTTGGGGTTCAGGGTTTTGGCAGCGGTGTTATAAAAATTAAATACCAGCGGTAGACACATGTTAATCTAGTCCTTATTTGTCCTTCCAGTTTAAATTTCCAGTTTTGCCCTTCCTCAAGAATATATGGTTTTACAGCTGTGGATCTCAAGCCAAGTGGTGAAGATGAGGTAAAAATTTTGCTTTTGATACTTTTTTAAAATCCAGCTGAGAATATGTTTTTACTTATTTTTTTCAAACACGTTTTTATTGATTTCAGAGAGGAAGGGCGAGGGAGAGAGAGATAGAAACATCAATGATGAAAGAGAATCATTCATTGATCAGTTGCCTACTGCACGCCCTACACAGGATCAGCCTGCAACTGGGCATGTGCCCTAACCTGGACTCGAACCATTATCTCCTGGTTCATAGGTCGACACTCAACCACTGAGCAACACTGGCTGGGCTGTATTTATTTTAGAGAGAAAGGAAGGGAGAGGGAGAGATAGAAATATCGATGAAAGAGAAACATCGGTTGGCTGCCTTCTGCACACTACCTGCTGTGTATTGAGTCTGCAACCTGGTCATATGCCTTAATTGGGAATTGATCCGGCAACCTGGTACATGGGTTGACACTCAGCAGCTGAATCCCACAGGCCAGGCTTGATACAGTTTTAACTTCAGAATCATCCTTTTACTGAGGCCAGTTGTACTAGGCGCTACTGAAATTTTCCTAGATATTAACTATAATGTTGGCTAATTTTCCTTTGCAGATGATAACAATGGATAATGCAGAAGAATATGTAGATTTGATGTTTGACTTTTGTATGCATACGGGTATTCAGAAGCAGATGGAAGCCTTTAGAGGTAATTTTTAAGTCTCGTTAGCTTAATCCCCCTCCTTTTACTTTGAGAGAGTTGAAATTAAGGCATGTCTGTGGTCAAGAATTGCTGGTAATCTGCAGATATGACCTCTAGTTTTTGTCTTCCAGATAGTTAGGTCCTGCAAAGGATCTAGAACAGGTTGGAACATTTGCAAGATGGAGTATACCCTCAGCTTGCTCCTTCCGAGTAATGGGGACCCACCATTGGCTCCATTTCTTCATTTGTTAGTGGCCATAAGGTTGCATTCTTTCCACATTACATGGACCAGGATGAATTAAACCATGTTAGAATTAAGTTCTGGTTGAAGATTAAAGCAAAATATATTAGACTGTTTTCAAAACTTACTGGTTTTGAAAATGGGAATAAAGTTTTGGTTGTCTTGTATGACACAATGGGAAATTTTTAGAATTTATTTACTGACCATAGTGACTGAGTATTCTCTCTGTTCACATTATTAATTAAGCAGAGATTTTTATATTTTAATCCTAACACAGTTTTGACAAGCTATCTTAATTTATATATATTTTCAAACATTTATTTATAATTTGATTTGAAATTTGGTATTTTAAAATTATAATTTAGAAACTGAATTGTGCATTTTGTTTGTCTGCTTTGTATGTAATGTAGATGGATTTAATAAAGTTTTTCCAATGGAGAAATTAAGTTCCTTCAGCCATGAAGAAGTCCAAATGATTCTTTGTGGAAACCAGTCACCATCCTGGGCAGCAGAGGATATTATCAATTATACTGAGCCTAAGTTGGGTTATACACGTGATAGGTATGCGTTGGTTATTTTCTAAAATAAAATTATTTATGTCCCCAAATCATATGGTAGATGATCTCTAAAGAACTTTGACTCAGTGAATTATATTTATATAGTAAGTGAGAAAAGCAGTTAAGACTCACCATCACCAAGATGCATATCCATTAATAAGAATGAGTTTACACAAAAATACAGTTGAATCTTGCCTAATGTTAAGATTCCTTTTCTCGCCCTGTTTTAATTGTTCATTATTTTAAAAATTGGGTAAAATGTAAACCTTTAGGCTTTATTTTTTTATATTAACTTTTATTTTCAAATAATTTCAGACTTACAGAATAGTTGAAAGAATTCCCCACTTGTCTTTAAGATTTTTCTGTATTTATATTCTGCTTTACACACACACACACACACACACACGCATACGCATAGTAAACCTGTGCATATGTATAGACACACAGGTGCACTATTTTTTTCTGAACCATTGGAGAATATGCTGCATATATCATGTCTCTTCACTCCTTAATACTTCAGTGTACATTTCCTGAGAATATGGATATTCTCCCATGTATGCAGTTAGCTAGCAAATTCATGGTACTGCTATACTTTTAACTGATCTATCATACATATTTGAATAATGTACTCAATAGCACTCCCATCAGCCCTGTACCTCCTGTACCAGGAAATTGCATTTTATTGTGATAGCTTTTTAAATCTAGAACAGTTCCTCAACTAATTTTTTTCATATCACTGACATTTTAAGACTGCAAAGTCTTATAGTACTTTTTAAAAAAAACTTTCAAACTAATGTAAATGAGAGAATATTATGAATTTTTTAAAACTAAATGACATTGCTCACCTAACATTTTTAAAGTAAACGTTTTATTGAAGTGTTAACAGAAGTACAAAAGTTGCATGTGTTGCCTGGAGAATTTTCACAAAATAAACACACTTCTATTAATGGCACCCAGGATAAGAAACAATTCCAGAAATCCCTTCTCTATCATATTCTTCTCTAGTCATTCAGTCACTATTCCTGTTGATTTATTTTGCTTGCTTTTGAACTTTAATAAATGAAATCATGCAGATATATATTCTTTAAGGTATGTCTTCTTTTTGTTTAACATTATGATCATGAAATTCATCCATGTTTTGGTCTACTATAGTGGTAGTTTATTTCACTGTAACAAGAATGAATTATTTCAGATCCACTTTGATAATTTAGGCATATTTGGATAAGTTCTGCAAGTGTATTTTGAGCTTTTCTGATTTGCTGACTTTATTGTATGTTTGATTCCTATACGCCATCATTGTTTCAGTTCTGAGTCCAAGAGAGTCTTGAAGGATATTTTTAAAGTAGTTTGTGTCATTTCATCTCATACTTAACCTAAGAGTTTCTGGTCAGTGCTGTTTTGTGGATATTGTTTTGGGGGGCGGTTATTGCTGGCTTACAAAGTAGTGATAGTGTTTTTCATTTCAGTCAGCTTTCAAATTAGTATAACTATACTTTTCTCCCTTTAGCCCTGGTTTCCTAAGGTTTGTGAGGGTTTTATGTGGCATGTCTTCAGATGAAAGGAAAGCATTCCTG